ACCTATCAACCCCTATCCATGCCACATCCCACCTATGACCCCCCCCCCATCCATGCCACATCCCACCTATCAACCCCTATCCATGCCACATCCCACCATTGACCCCCCCCATCCATGCCACATCCCACCTATCAACCCCTATCCATGCCTCATCCCACCTATGACCCCCCCCATCCATGCCACATCCCACTTATCAACCCCCATCCATGCCACATCCCACCTATGACCCCCCCATCGATGCCACATCCCACCTATCAACCCCCATCCATGCCACATCCCACCTATCAACCCCCCCATCCATGCCACATCCCACCTATCAACCCCCATCCATGCCACATCCCACATTCCACTTATCAACCCCCTATCCATGCCACATCCCACCTATATCCCCCCCCCCCTATCGATGCCACATCCCACCTATCAACCCCCATCCATGCCACATCCCACCTATCAACCCCCATCCATGCCACATCCCACCTATGACCCCCCCATCGATGCCACATCCCACCTATCAACCCCCATCCATGCCACATCCCACCTATCAACCCCCCCATCCATGCCACATCCCACCTATCAACCCCCATCCATGCCACATCCCACATTCCACTTATCAACCCCTATCCATGCCACATCCCACCTATATCCCCCCCCCCCCTATCGATGCCACATCCCACCTATCAACCCCCATCCATGCCACATCCCACCTATCAACCCCCCATCCATGCCACATCCCACCTATGACCCCCCCATCCATGCCACGTCCCACCTATCAATCCCCCCCATCCATGCCACGTCCCACCTATCAATCCCCCCCATCCATGCCACGTCCCACCTATCAATCCCCCCCATCCATGCCACGTCCCACCTATCAATCCCCCCCATCCATGCCACGTCCCACCTATCAATCCCCCATCCATGCCACGTCCCACCTATCAACCCCCCCATCCATGCCACGTCCCACCTATCAACCCCCCCATCCATGCCACGTCCCACCTATCAACCCCCCCATCCATGCCACGTCCCACCTATGACCTCCCCCATCCATGCCACATCCTACCTATGACCCACCCCCCCCCATCCATGCCACATCCCACCTATGACCCCCACCCCCCCCATCCACGCCACATCCCACCTATGACCCACCCCCATCCATGCCACGTGCCACCTATCAACCCCCCCCCATCCATGCCACATCCCACCTATGACCTCCCCCCACCCAATCCATACCTTTCCCCATACTTTCTTACTCTGATTTTCACTGAAACCTCCAATCAGCTCCAGCCTTTCCCTTTCTTCCAACTCTTCTTGTTCATCACTTTTGTTCCTTTGACCCCACACTTCTCCCATCGTCCTTCAACTCATAGCGCCTCAAACTTCCCTCAATCCTAACAGAAACCCACGGGCCCCATAACACCCCGGCCTCGGCCAATCCTACCGATTCTCACACACAGACTTACATACTTTATCACCAAACAACTTTCATTACTCGTCATGTTTTTCCCATCATTCATCCTCACTTTTTTCCATTCTCGACACCATAAAAGCCAAAACAAGTACACTGACCTTAGCCAAAAAGGCTTTTTTCTTTTACTTTTTTTTTGGGGGTTTTTTCCTTCCACATTCAATCCTCCTGCTGATTGCAAATTGCAAAGGATCATGGTCACCCTCATTTGCATACCACTTTCTGCTTGGCTCAGCCCTCCAAAAGTGTAGATGAGTCAAATCTATGCAAATTTATCTGACTTTTCCCACCCAGAAAAACCCCTACTTTTTCCAGATGCCCGCTCGGTTTGTTGGCATGGACACACACTTCCAGAATGGATCACCCCCTCCCACCATATCCTACATTCACCAATAAGGATGATTTTTGACCTTACTGTTTTAATTTAGGGAGAGTATTTGGTATCTAATTAGCATATTTGCTCTCTCTGTCCCTTTCTCTCCTTTTTTGTTACACATTAGGGAGAGTGTTCTGATCCTACCGCATAGGATCATGGTCACCCTAATTTGCATACTCTTTTCTGGCTCAGCCCTCCAAAAGTGTGGGATTAGTCAAATACTTATAAATTCCCACCCAGAAAATCTCCCTCTCACCCCCCTCCCCCAGAGAGCACCCTGACCTAGTACTTGGTGGTTGGCTTTGGGTAGCCACAAGGAAAGGGGTCCAGCAGGTCTTTTGACTAGTTGGACCATGTGGAAACCTCAGTCCCTGGCAGGAGCCTCGTGCCCCGGGGGATTAGGTTAGAGGTCCTACCCTTTGGGGGGGGTGGTGGACTAAGACACACCCCTAAGTGCACTTTTTTGTGTTTTGCACTTGCACGTTTTTTGTTCACTTACAGGTTTTTTTGTTTTTTCGCACCTCCGCGGACATAAAAAAAAATAAAACAAAATGTGTCTGACCTCGGCTGCCAATCTCTTGTAGGTGACAACTGCTGCCAGTCCCTCTGGACCTTGGGGGTATTTTCATTGGGTCCACCGCATGCTACTGGGGAGACGCCACTGATACTTGAACCTCTGCTGAGAATAATGATGAAAGACAAATGTGGAAGGGAAGGGGAGGGGTTTGAGGAGGTACCTGGAAATGGAGAGGAGTTTGAAAGTCATTGGATACAGGGATGATTTTGGTTTGTTGAAAAATATATTTTCTCTTTTACAAAAGTATAAAAAGACGATACTTTGGTTGGAGAACATCTCACCCTGTACTGTGACCCAGCGCTTAATACACCGCGTGACAATACAGTTCCAATCGTACAATAAATACATTCACTCAGCGGTACGATGCCTAACGTGAATCGCACGACAGACAAATTCCCCGGACCATCACGGCATGCATGATGCCACTTACCCTGAGACTGTGGTCCTCTCAGGTAAACCCCTAAAAATAAAGAAAAGGATAAAAAAAAAAGAGCTTTTTGGCTAAGGTCAGTGTGCTTGTGTCATGGCTTTTAAGAATGGAAAAATTGAGGAGAGAAAGTGATGAAAACACCCCCACACCATAATCCCCCCTCCACCAAACGGTACACTTGGCACAGTGCAGTCAGGCAAGTACCGTTCTCCTGGCCACCGCCAAACCCAGACATGTCCATCGGATTGCCAGACAGAGAAGCGGGATTGGTCCCCCCAGAGAACACGTCTCCCCTGCTCTAGAGTCCAGTGGCGGCGTGCTTTACACCACGGCATCCGACGCTTTGCATTGCACTTGGTGATGGAAGGCTTGGATGCAGCTGCTCGGCCATGGAAACCCATCCCATGAAGCTCTCTACGCACTGTTGTTGGGCTCATCTGAAGGCCACACCAAGTTTGGAGGTCTTTAGCTATTGACTCTGCAGACAGTTGGTGACTTCTGCGCACTGTGCGCTTCAGCATGCGCTGACCCCGCCCTGTCATGTGACGTGGCCTACCACTTGGTGGCTGAGTGGCTGTTGTTCCCAGTGGCTTCCACTTTGTTATAATCCCACTAACAGTTGAGCGTGGAATATTTAGTAGCCAGGAAATGTCATGGATGGACTTATTGCCCAGGTGGCCACCTATCACGGGACCACGCTTGGAGTCACTGAGCTCCTGAGAGCGACCCATTCTTTCACCAATGTTTGTAGAAGCAGTCTGCATGCCTAGGGGCTTGATTGTATACACCTGTGTCCATGGAGGGGATTGGAACACCTGAATCACATGATATGGAGGGGATTGGACCACCTGAATCACATGATATGGAGGGGATTGGACCACCTGAATCACATGATATAGAGGGGATTGGGACACCTGAATCACATGATTGGGAGGAGATTGGAACACCTGAATCACATGATTGGGAGGGGATTGGAACACCTGAATCACATGATTGGGAGGGGATTGGAACACCTGAATCACATGATTGGGAGGGCGGGCCCAATACATCTGACAATATAGGGTATATATATATATATGGTAAAAATAGAAATGACAGGTCCTCTTTGAAGGATAGTTTAACCATTACATAATAATATTGATAATAATAATAAAAAATGTTATATATATTAATAATAAAATTCCTTTTTTTAGTTCACCTTACTGACATATCTGGAGTCTAAAAGATGTGTTCTCCTGCTCTGTGAAGATCAACTCCAGAAGCTTCTTACCCACCTGGGACACTAGGACCCGGGTCTGACGTTTCACAGGTCACTACTGGGCAATTAGCAGGAAGCGGAGATCAGCAAATGGTTGGTCTCCCTGGGACTCAGCACAGGGATGGTGGGAACCCCTCATAATGGGCACAGTGGGGGTACAGAACTGGGATCTCACCACAGGGATGGTGGGAACCCCTCGTAATGGGCTCAGCAGGTTTCACTCCCCAGACACCAGCCTTGGCTTTGATCATTGTTGTGACTCCCTGCTGGAATATGATCTCCATTCTGACCGGATATGTCTGGAAAGGGTGGTGAAGGGCCGGTTGTGTCTCCTCTGAGCTCTGAGATCCTCCTATAATCCAGTCTAGCCAGTAAACCAAGAAATATCTGGTGACTCTTCCCGCTGTACATGCCTGGAGGCGTGTGATGTCACCGCGTGTTGTCAGCTGGCACTGGCCGTGTAGATGGTACAAAGTGTTCATATGTCAGATATTAACATTCTCAGCTTCTCATTTTACATCATCATCTCTAATATTGTTATCATGTAACATGTATCAAACGTCCCTTACATTGGTGGTCAGTGGGAAGAATGTCCCTTACATTGGGAGTCAGTGGGAAGAATGTCCCTTACATTGGGGGTCAGTGGGAAGAATGTCCCTTACATTGGGGGGTCAGTGGGAAGAACGTCCCTTACATTGGTGATCAGTGGGAAGAATGTCCCTTACATTGGGGGTCAGTGGGAAGAATGTCCCTTACATTGGAGGTCAGTGGGAAGAATGTCCCTTACATTGGAGGTCAGTGGGAAGAATGTCCCTTACATTGATCAGTGGGAAGAATGTCCCTTACATTGGGGGTCAGTGGGAAGAATGTCCCTTACATTGGGGGTCAGTGGGAAGAATGTCCCTTACATTGGGGATCAGTGGGAAGAATGTCCCTTACATTGGGGGTCAGTGGGAAGAATGTCCCTTACATTGGAGGTCAGTGGGAAGAATGTCCCTTACATTGGGGATCAGTGGGAAGAATGTCCCTTACATTGGTGGTCAGTGGGAAGAATGTCCCTTACATTGGGGGTCAGTGGGAAGAATGTCCCTTACATTGGGAGTCAGTGGGAAGAATGTCCCTTACATTGGGGGTCAGTGGGAAGAATGTCCCTTACATTGGGGGTCAGTGGGAAGAACGTCCCTTACATTGGTGATCAGTGGGAAGAATGTCCCTTACATTGGGGGTCAGTGGGAAGAATGTCCCTTACATTGGAGGTCAGTGGGAAGAATGTCCCTTACATTGGAGGTCAGTGGGAAGAATGTCCCTTACATTGATCAGTGGGAAGAATGTCCCTTACATTGGGGGTCAGTGGGAAGAATGTCCCTTACATTGGGGGTCAGTGGGAAGAATGTCCCTTACATTGGGGATCAGTGGGAAGAATGTCCCTTACATTGGGGGTCAGTGGGAAGAATGTCCCTTACATTGGAGGTCAGTGGGAAGAATGTCCCTTACATTGGGGATCAGTGGGAAGAATGTCCCTTACATTGGTGGTCAGTGGGAAGAATGTCCCTTACATTGGGGGTCAGTGGGAAGAATGTCCCTTACATTGATCAGTGGGAAGAATGTCCCTTACATTGGGGGTCAGTGGGAAGAATGTCCCTTACATTGGGGGTCAGTGGGAAGAATGTCCCTTACATTGGGGGTCAGTGGGAAGAATGTCCCTTACATTGGGGGTCAGTGGGAAGAATGTCCCTTACATTGGTGATCAGTGGGAAGAATGTCCCTTACATTGGGGGGTCAGTGGGAAGAATGTCCCTTACATTGGGGGTCAGTGGGAAGAATGTCCCTTACATTGGGGGTCAGTGGGAAGAATGTCCCTTACATTGGGGGTCAGTGGGAAGAATGTCCCTTACATTGGTGGTCAGTGGGAAGAATGTCCCTTATATTGGTGATCAGTGGGAAGAATGTCCCTTACATTGGGGGTCAGTGGGAAGAATGTCCCTTATATTGGGGGGTCAGTGGGAAGAATGTCCCTTACATTGGGGGGTCAGTGGGAAGAATGTCCCTTACATTGGGGGGTCAGTGGGAAGAATGTCCCTTACATTGGGGGTCAGTGGGAAGACTGTCCCTTACATTGGGGGTCAGTGGGAAGAATGTCCCTTACATTGGTCATCAGTGGGAAGAATGTCCCTTACATTGGGGGTCAGTGGGAATTTATCTTGTTGATGGGGGATGGTAAAATTCTGGCAGATTGAACTTGATGTTTAAGATCCATTATTCTCTCATTTCCTCTGCGTTGTCTTTGTTGCGGCGCACACGGGGCAGTCGTGTTCCGGGGGCAGGATGTGACGTCACACTCTTCGCCGGCACACAATGGTTCGTTCTGTTTCCCAACTTCATGCTGAGCCAGAACAAGAACTTGCAGTCTGTACAGCGAGGTGACCGAACTCCTATACTGCCGGCTCAGGAACGTCGGACACAGTTTAGAGGTATATATAAAGTTACATTGTTTCATTGTTTCTTCCTCACAGATACTTTTTTCCTGTTTCTCCGGATTTATGATTGTTATGATTTCTACATTCTTTTATACCTATAATTATAACCCCCCCCCATCCATCTTAAGGCTCGATACCACGGCTACCATGTCTGGCGCTGGGTAATTCAAGCCTGTTCCCATTGGTAGGGACCGGCGTGTTGCTGTTCTTTATTGGGGGTGCGTCCGGGATGACCTGGGCTCAGAGGAAGTGGGTGGAATGAAGCTGCCCATCAGCCAGAGCACATCAGATCCTACCTGTAGGGGAGGCTGCAGATGCTGTTAAAGTGCAATTTTGTCTTTGGACCTAACAGCATCTGCAGCCTCCCCTACAGGTAGGATCTGATGTCCTCTGGCTGATGGCCAGCTTCATTCCACCCACTTCCTCTGAGCCCGGGTCATTTTGGACCCACAACCAAGCCAATGATTGGACAGTGAATTGCGAATGAGCTCATCTCTCTGTCACTCTGCTCTCTCCTCCTATCAGCAAGCTTCTTCTTAGCAGATGAACTGATAGTCTCCTTGTGCTTCTCCCATTCTGAGCCCTGCTGTACATCTGCACTGACAGAACACATTCACACAGCTTTATAAAAAAGTACATTTAATGACGTACTAAGGAACACAGAGCTGCACTCACTTCTGTCCAAGAGTTCAGCTTTAAGGGCTCGTTTACATTGTTGCGGTACATTAGTGCATGGATGTTAACATGCGTGATTCATGTCAATGGCCTGCCTAACACATGTGCGTGCAGCATTTTCCACAGTGCATGGCATCGCACATTAATGCAGCACAAGTACATTGAGGTTGATTGGGATAACATTTACAGCCAATGGCACCACATTGTACCAATCACATAAGGGGCGTGAACAGGACCTTAAAGGGCAGGTCACTCAAAGCTGATGTTCCAGATTCCAGGTTCTTGTGTCTTTAGGGAGCCCCTAGTGGCAGATCTCTGCAGTTACAGTCCTGTGTCTGTGCACCTGATGAAGTCCATGGGAGGAAGCACCCGATGAAGTCCATGGGAGGAAGCACCTGATGATGTCCATGGGAGGAAGCACCTGATGCCTGATGAAGTCCATGGGAGGAAGCTCCTGATGACGTCTCTGGGAGGAAGTACCTGATGAAGTCCATGGGAGGAAGCACCCGATGATGTCCCTGGGAGGAAGCACCTGATGAGGTGCAAAGGAGGAAGAAACTGATGAAGTCCATGGGAGGACCACCTGATGAAGTCCATGAGAGGAAGTACCTGATGACGTCCCTGAGAAGCACCTGATGAAGTTCATTGGAAGAAACATCTGAAGAAGTCCATGGGAGAAAGCACCTGATGAAGTCCATGGGAGGAAGATCCCAATGAAGGGGAGGAGCTGCTACACCTGTGCAAGACTGAAGGGGGAGGAGCCAGTACACCTGTGCAAGACTGAAGGGGAGGAGCCTCTACAACTGTGCACCACTGAAGGGGAGGAGCCGGTACACTTGTGCAAGCCTGAAGGGGAGGAGCCTATACACCTGTGCAAGATTGAAGGGGAGGAGCCGATACACCTGTGCAAGACTGAAGGGGAGGAGCCGATACACCTGTGCAAGGCAGAAGGGGAGGAGCAGGTACACCTGTACAAGACTGAAGGGGAGGAGCTGGTACACCTGTGCAAGACTGAAGGGGAGGAGCAGGTACACCTGTGCAAGACTGAAGGGGAGGAGCCGGTACACCTGTGCAAGACTGAAGGGGAGGAGCCGGTACACCTGTGCAAGACTGAAGGGGAGGAGCAGGTACACCTGTGCAAGACTGAAGGGGAGGAGCCGGTACACCTGTACAAGACTGAAGGGGAGGAGCTGGTACACCTGTGCAAGACTGAAGGGGAGGAGCAGGTACACCTGTGCAAGACTGAAGGGGAGGAGCCGGTACACCTGTGCAAGACTGAAGGGGAGGAGCAGGTACACCTGTGCCAGATTGAAGGGGAGGGCGGAGTTCTAGGAATAACGAGGATGCTCTCTTCCATGAATTGTGACTCCCGGGGTTCTCTTCATATCCTTCTAGTGAGATGATTGGTGAACTCTGCCGGCGGCATTTCCCGGTCACCGACCTTCCGGGTGGAATTTCCAGTCTGTGGGGCTTCCGGTTACAGAATTAGAGAACGATGCCACGCCCTCAAGTGACATGCCCTCACGTGATTGGGCCGCAACTCTGAGCGACTTTTGGAAATACTCCAGAAAATGTGGGAAATAAGTCCCTGACCCTTTTCCAAAAACGCAGCGCATGGTTTGGCACGCATGTTTGCAGATGCATGGGGGCGCCGTCAACAATTACTGGCCCCGCCGCACATCCGCTGTTTCTGTGCGTTTCTGGAAAGTGCGATTTTCTGTCATTCCTGACCCGCATAGATGTGTAACCAGCTTTATTGACTCTGCCGTGCGTCCGCTAAAGGGCAGCGCGTTTCAGCGCATGATGGGAAAGTGCGATGTTTGCCTTGTGTTGCCGAGAGGTATAGATGTGAACCTCACTTTACGGCTCGTTCAAACCTGTGCGTTTTTACAGCGCTGAAACGCACCTGCCCAACGTGTCAGAAGCACACAGTCCGCTTTACATCGCATACAACTGTCCGTGCGTGCGTCTGTCCGTGCGTTTCTGGGGAGTGCTCTGCGCTGCTGCTTGCTGTGTCTTCAATGCGCTTTCCTGAAAGCAACCCTTCCATTACAGGCAAAGGTAACGAAAACCGAAAACGCACCAAACACGCAGCATGCGTTTTTATTAGTTCGTCCGGTTTTCCCAGGGGACTGGGGGCCAGTTCACACCACATGCAGTCCAGTGCGGTTTTTATTTTGAACCAAATCAGTTCCAGTGCGTTTCAGCTTCATGAAAAAAAGTGGAACAGGCTGCATTTTTTCCGCAATGAACTGTACTGGAAGGCAGTAAAACGCATCAAAAACGCACCGGAACGCACCATAAATGCACCGGAACGCACCATAAATGCACTGGAACGCACCATAAATGCACTGGAACGCACCATAAACGCACCGGAGTGTACCATAAACGCACTGGAACGCACTTTTATTTATTAAGTTGGCGAAAAAGAGAGAGGAAGAAAATGAACTGGAACCAGGGGCGGAGACCATTCGAGCACTCGGGTACTGCCCGAGGGCCCGGGGTCTGTAGGGGGCCCCATGATCCCCTATTGCCCAGGGGCCCCATGAGTTGTCAGTCTGCCCCTGACTGGAACACGTCAAAAACGCACCAGAACAGATAAAAAACGCACCAGAACGCATCAAAAATGCACATATAGAAACACGTCCGGAATGCATCCAGACTGCGTTTTTATGGTGTGGACCGGCCCTAAGGCTCGGCTCACACCTATGCAGTCTGCGTTTGATCTGTTTCTGCAGTGCGTTTTGTGGTGCGGTTTTTTCACTTGCATTTTTGACACGTTTTTCATGCGTTTTGCTTTTTTTATTTTTTATTTTTTTTGGCCAACTTGTGGCTGGGCAGATTAAAAATGCAAAAGGCATCAAAAACGCATAAAAAATGCACTACTTGCATTCCTGCAGCATGTCCATTGAAGTCTATTGAACCGAAACGCAATGTTTTGCGTTTAAAAAAAGTCCCCGCCCCTTTCCAAAAATCGCACCAAAACGCAGAGATGTGACCGAGTCTCATAGGAAATCATGTTAAGTCCCCGGTCACCCCGGGTGCGACCTGGCATGCGATTTGCCATGTCATGCGACTTGCAAACCGCATGCCGAGCGCCCCCTGTTGTCCGCAATTACAGCGGTCTTATCGGCGCGATTCTGACTTGGTTGGAACCGCAGCGATTTCTAGTGAATGCGTTGCTTTTCGTGCGTTTTGCGTAGACGTTTGTGTCAGATGTGTTGCAAATCGCACCTCAAATTGTCGCATCACTGTAGTGTATTGGACTGTAGTGCGTTCCTGCAAAACGCACAGCAACCTAGCCTGAGCCCGGGTTCACACTAATGCAGCGCGGAACATCCAGGGGCGGACTGCCCGAGGGCCCGGGGTCAGTAGGGGGCCCCTTGAGATGCCCCTGCCCCTTTTTTCATAAGCTTTTTTAAGTTTGGACAAGGACACAGGGGCCCCATGATCCCCTATTGCCCGGGGGCCCCATGAGTTGTCGGTCCGCCCCTGCAGGGGCCCCATGATCCCCTATTGCCTGGGGGCCCCATGAGTTGTCAGTCCGCCCCTGCAGGGGCCCCATGATCCCCTATTGCCCGGGGGCCCCATGAGTTGTCAGTCCACCCCTGGGCACATCGTATGCGACGTCTGTGCAGGACATACGTTTTGTTCGGCTCAAATCGCATCCCATCCGCACCAAGAACAATGCAGGACCCTTTTGTTTCCCCC